GCATTCGCTTCGCCAATCCGGTTGTCCATTCTTCAGGACGTATGAATCATTTATCAGCTTCGATCTCCGATCCAAACCAAAATTGTCCGCCTGACGATTCAATCTACATCCATTTATCCGCTAAACGTCTATGGCATCCTTATCGGACGGCGCAGAACGGGATTGTCGTACGGCGTATCTTATCGCAGCTGGATCCCGGTTTTATGAGTCCCGACAATCGTAAATACGACGAAGAAACACGCGCTCAATCGGCAGAAAGGCATGCGACGCTTATTGTGAGAACCGTTCAATCAGCGCGTGCACGTTTAATTCGCGAAACGAGGCGCGATAAAAGTCGCAAGGAGATTTAATCTCGACGAGAATATACTTGACATTTACGCGGCACGGATTATTAATATGGCGAATTTGAATCGTCGAGAAAGATAGGCTTCAATGATGCAATAATTATAAATAAATGCAAAACTGTCTCTCTATCTTAAAGTAAAGTCTAAATAATGGGCTATCAAGGTATTAATTCTACTTTACACATTTTTATATCCCACTCAATTTCAAGCATTGACGAGGCAAATGTAATTGCTAAATTCCTGGATTGAGAGAAACTACATGTCTGATTAATTAAAAAATTTAATTAATTAATTTGTGAGATACTGAGACTGTGACAGCTGTCATTCTTATAATTGCGATTTTTTTGTCGATTGCCTCTCGAGTACAAATCGCGATAAGCGGCGATGGAAGACGGCGATTTCTCGTCGATCTCGCGTTCGCGATCAGCGTCAGCGCCGATTGCAAATCTCGACGTCCGCGTCGGCGTCGTATAAGGCTCGTTTCTCTGCCGCACGAGGTGCGGTAATCTTAAACCCGAGAAAACGAGCGTCCTCGGGCACGAACGTCGCCGCTGCCGCTGCTGCTGGGCGGAAATGAAATACGGGTGAGAGACGAAGGCACGAACTTAATTTAGGTTGTTACGGGCGCGGGTCCCACCGTTCTTACTCACGCTCGCCCAAAACGCGCTGGCTGGTCCCGGACGATAAGTCATTCCGACGATAAGCCGTCCGCGGGACGCAAAACGGCGAAGGGTCCGCGGACGCGAAGTCCGAATTAAGGTTTCACGAAGAAAAATGCGCGACCGTTATCGCCGGGAGAAAAAAGATCTTCCCAGCGAAGAGCGTGGAATTTCATTTTTATAGCGTAGACCACCGTGTTACGAAGTACTTTGTCTCGGGGACATCATTGCCGCAAAGTGGCTGAGAAATTGCGGACAATTACGTTCGGACGTTTTTAAGCGGCGCACACGATATATTAATTTGAACAAGCGGCCCGTGGGATCATGGGAAATTTTCTTCGCGTTGCACTTAAATTTTCTCGATGTTACGATTATTTAATTCTTTAGTTTCACCTTTGGAATAATTTAAGAAATGATTCTTAATTCACACTTGAATCTTTGAAAAGATCTAGCTAATCTATGCTTATACAAATGAAATAAAAATTAGCTTTTTTTTAAGAGTAAAGTGATTTTTTTTCCGTATACCAGGCTATAAATATCATCGCGAAAGGAGTTTGACGTTCACCGCGTCTCACCCTTGCGTACTTCAATCTTGGCGAAAATAATGAAACTTCGGCGAGATGCTTTATATGGAACCAAGGGGCCGGTCAGAAGGTGTGGTCCCGGACAGACAGCCAGGCGTTGGTCTTAAATCCAAGCCAGGCGGCGAACAGAGACCAGATCCTTCATATCCCGCGAACCACTTAGTCAACGAAAGAACGTGCTGCCGCGGGAAGATTTTTATCTGGTGTTTGCCGGGACGCATCGCTCGTTAAAACTCCGATGCACTTTGGGGGTCAATATGTGCATAGCGTACCTATAATTTTCTTATCGCACGTGTCAATTGGGGAGAATATTGACATACTGAGATCTTTATTTTATTCTTAGTTACGCGCTCGTTGCGGATGAGCAACGTGAAAATTTATCGATCTACATACTTTATTGCTTTATTGCGTAAGTGTTGTTTAACAAGCTAAAGATTAAACAGTTGAAAGATTAAAGAACCAGGAACGCGTGCATAATAATAAGACTTGAATTACTCCGAAAATTTTGTCGATAATTTCTGTCCAAATTTAAATAATAAAATTCAAATTATAATAATAAATTATTCTTCTATTCTTTCTATAATTATATTCATACTAATTTCAACAATTATGCATCGTCATGATTAATCCTTTTTAGGAATAATCATGGTATATCTATTACAAAAAAATATGCTCTTCAACAACTATTACACAGCAAAACTTTTAATTGGATACCTCTGATTAATTCATAGGAAACACAATTGCGTTTGTATTATTTCTGTAAGATCGTTTAACAAACTGAAGATTAAACAGTTGAAAGATTAAAGAGCCAGAGACGCGTGGAGTAATAAGATATGAATTACTCCGAAAATTTTGTCGATAATTTCTGTCCAAATTTAAATAATGAAATTCCAATTTAATAATAAATTATTCTTCTATTCTTTCTATAATTATATTCATACTAATTTCAATGATTATAATCCTTTTTAGGAATAATCATGGTGTATCTATTACAAAAAAAATATCATCAAATTTGTTCTCCAACAACTATTACACGGCAGAACTTTTAATTGGATACCTCTGATTAATTCATAGGATACACAATTGCGTTTGTATTATTTCTATAAGAAACCTTCAATTATCCGAAGCCTGCCCTTCCTCTCTCACTCGAGTACACATTTAGATATTAGTTAAGAATATTCCGCAAGCAACGCGTTGAAACTACAACAACAAAGTGATTGATCAGACGAGTGCGGCATTTATGCCTCGCGGTTTCCGCCGACAATTACGGGTTTCAAGGATGCCTCGTGCCGATAGGTAGGCAAAGAATTCGTCCTTCCTCGAAGGGAGATGCGAGAGGATGACGAGAGAGGAACGGCAGTGCCGGGCTATTGTCCAGTGAGAGAATCGAAGAAGAAGCGTCGGTGGAGTGAAAGGAAGAAAGACGGAGGGCCGAAGGGGGAATCACCCCCGGGGGCACGGCATAAATCGCTATGGACAGACAGCATGTTCGACTAATTACAGATCCCTGATTACCGACGGGCGCGACTGCGGCCGCCTAATAAAGAGAAAATAAATTAATAAACCTCTAATATCGTGGCCGGCCCATCTCGCCTTGGATAAAAAAGAAGTGTTTATTAATTTATTGTGATCGAGCCGCGATAAAAGCCACGCCGGATCAAAGGATTCGAAAATGTTCCTCGCATTGCAACGACTGGAACCGGATCCGCCTTCGATCTTCTGTCTATGTTAATGTGACTTCATCGCACAGTCACCGAAAATTTATTCCTCCTTCTTAGATTAATGTGAAAAATCGTATTCCTCTGTTAATTATTACAATCTACTCTATCTTTTTTATTGTCTTTACTTATTTAACGATATTTTTTTCTAAACTGTGGAATAATATATATAATTTATACGTTTCCTACATATTAATCTTTTATTAACACGTTAAAAAAAATTGAAATAAATTTATCTCCTTCGAAAATATATTCTCTAAAGTATAGAATCAAACAAATTTTATTATACTCTTCATAAGAGCATGATATATTTCTGATATAAGGAGTATATAAATTAATCTTGCTTAATCGGAAGGTTAATTAAGCATAAATGATTTATCTCCAATTTCTACTAACACGTCTCAATTTACCTAGATATTTTTGAATCAACAAATAAGCTAACCCTTCTATATGATTCCACGCCGAAGATTGAAGCATCAAAGAAACCGGCGAGAATCGATTTGCTGGCCGTATCGAATGGGCGGCGATAATGCGATGGAAAGGAGACAAGATCGAAGGAGGAGAAGGGCAGATAGCGGAACGCGTTGAACTTCCGCGTGGGTCTTTTCTGGGTCTACAAGATGACGGCGGCAAAGGCATTTATCCGCTGTGCCGAGACCTCGGAAGGATTTATTTTCACGGTGGCAAAGATGCAACTGAAGTTGACGAGCGGGATCTGTAGCGAAACCCAGTCCCGGGTGTGCTCGCGGGGGCGTTTTCACAAGCAATTAATGCGACCTTAAAGGGACCGTGCGAAACGCTGCTGCGAGAAAGGAAACCGACCGAGAAAGTAACGCTAAGTCTCGACTTAAACGAATCCGTCATTTCTACACATATCCGATTGTTGCAAACATTTATATCACCTGTAGTCATATAGTAAACAGTATGTTTTGACAGAAAATTTGATTTAATAATTTATATAAAAAAATAATTACCTATCTTTATATTTATTCCTTGCGGAAATTATAAAATTTTAATCTAACTAAATAATTCTATATAATCTCATTCTATAAATAATTCCAACAAACCCAAATTTTTATATGATAAAATATTATAATAGTTAATAATAATATTACTATTATTAATATAAATAATTAATAAAAATAATTGAAAAATCTTATATGTATAAAATACCATATAAGATTTATACTGTTTAAACAGTTCAATCGAAGAATTTTCATGGCATTGAAAATAACGATGTTATATTCAGATCTAGTTAAAGATTCGAAAAAGATGTAACACGCAATTCATTATGCGTAAACCTATAACGATATTATTAGAACAAGATCATCAACGTTTAATTACGTTATCGCAAAAGTATTACTAGATGATCGTTCGAGCGGGATGTGACTCGGTTTCTTAATAAGCGAGTATAATTTGCGCGTTGGTGGCACGACGTCTTTCAAAGGTACCGATGTCAGATCGTTAGCGGATTGGAAATGCGCTCGCTCTTAATGATTGAACGAATATCGAAGTCACGGAGATGAAGAGAGCGCGGCGCGAGATGCTCTCTCTCTTTCTCTCCTCATGAGAGATCGAGAGCTCGTCGTCCTTTAAAAAAATGCGGCGGCGATTTTCTATTAAAGCCGACCGCCGTGACGGGGCAACAAATTTCTTATGGGTAATGTAAATCGATCCATAAGTCGGTATACTTACACTATTTAGCCAATTAGCAGAATGCGACCGGTTTTATGTATGAAGAAAGACGCCAATCTTGCTGCATTATAGCCTGAGTATCCTGATATTGAATTGTGGTTTTATAGCCGGTTGCACCAGTAAGCTAAACATAAAAAACGATTATATAGATAATTTACAGTCGACTAGAAAAAACTATTATTTTTAAATGTTAAGTTGAATATTGAGAAAATAGGAGAAAAATTTCAACTTGGGAAGATATATTTATGTGCAAATTTTAAATGTCATATTAAGTAAATTTGCATTTGCCGTAGTAATAAAAGTTTTAGTTTCAAAACTCTTTATTTAGATTGATTCTAAAATTAAGTTATTTTAACTTTTTCAAAATATACAAAATACGACACATAGAGTGTATATAAAAATTCTTTTTTAAAAATAAATAGAAATATACATAAGTACATAAAAAATCCATATTTCTATGCAACAAATAGAAGTTAAAAAAAATTTCAAATGTTTAAAATTTACAATTTATATACTTGGCGGTTTTTATCATATAATAAAAATTTGTCACTCACCGATCAACGGAAAAGTTGTCCAGCAAAATCTCCTATTCCATTCGCACCGGACACACAACCATACACGATAATACAAAAAAGATCGATAAAATGAGTTAAAAATTCAACATTACGACAAACAATACGACGAACAATACGACTTGACAATGCCTTTGCACGGCATTCCCGAAATTAAAATTAAAATGAATCAATCAACACAATGAAAACGGTCGCGCGACACTTTCACGGCACTCCCGAACTAATTAAGACGCGAAAATGCGAATGTCAATTATTAAACCGTTTGGGTACTTGGCTTCCCCTTCAGGAAAGTTCCTTCTGGGTACTAAGCCCTCCCACCAACGTCAAGGTGTACCCAATGGGAGGGTTTCATCAAATATAAAAACCCGATGTAATATAAATATACTCCAAAAAAACGCACCAATTGCGCCAATCTTTGCTACTGTAAAAAATATTTTCTTTAAAATTAAACTAAATTACAAAATATATTATATTACACATATATAAATATTTTAGAGTTAATTGTACAATATATACAGAAATCATGCCACTACTCTGTCGAGTTTGCCACGCAAATGCTATAGCTGAGACACGTAGAAAAAGGCTAAAATGCCAGCTCGCCGATAGGTAAGCCTCGAATCCACATAAATAGGGACCCAAAGATTGTTTAACGGTACATAAGAGTGGTTGAAAAAATTATTCTCACGCGACTCAATCGAAGGCTGGAGAAGGACTGTTATTTTCGTTCAATATTATTATTATCTCGAGAGAGAACGCGTCTCGAAAGATACTTCGCACTGGGAAATGCTCCCAGTAATAGCGCCGACCTTGCCGAGTTTGTCGGTTTTAGCACACGGCGATTGAATAAACATGTCATAACGCGAAGCGACGCTCGAAACACTGACGTTTCGTCCTGGGCGAAAGTTATCGGAGTCATTTCCCGCGGAACTGCCTCGTTCACGTGCGAATTATGACAGCCGTGCGAGGAACCGCGGCGAGAACGTCGCGAAAAATCCGACCGCTGTTGCTGCCGTTGCAAGAAAATTGAATTCAGAGAGATATGGATGTAAGTCTGTGCTACCACGAGACGAAGTCGCGTATCGGATCGATGCCAGGTAGAGGCACGACATCATAAAGTCCCTTGGGGATTTTTCACGTGAATCTTTTAGTATACTTAAGTGGAACGCAAGGAGAATTTTAACAAGCTTACTAAAATATTTTATTCAATACTCTGCATTTGCATCTTTCCTAAATTCATACGCAACATTTAAAAGTAATAGCGCAAACACATATACAAGGTCTCATCTTGAATTTTCTTTTTTGCTGGAAGAATGAACGGAACCCTTTCTGCGAAATTTATACTTTTATCCACAAGAACGGGCCTATAAAATATATATGTATTAAAAATGCTCGACTCTCTGGTACGACTTTTCAATCGCAGATAAGACTCTACGTGAAGCCTCATAATACATAAAGGAACATACATAACGAAAAAGATGATGCGAGTGCATCGTAAGATTAAATAAGGATGCTTGCCCGCGTGATCTGCCATTCATATGTTAAAATGACATTTGGGATCGGTATGCTCAGACGATGACGAATCCGGGTGTGTCCGCGGATCCGATCCAAGACCGTGATCGCCACCGATCCGTCGATCATGACTCCATTTTCCAATGCACGCTGCTGATCGGCGCACTTGTCAGGAACAATGAGCCGCCTTCATAAGAAGCTAAATTCTTGAAGTGGAGACACGCGGGCACTCTCTGGGCCACTTCTGAACGATTCGGCGACACGACGTCGCCGACGTTGCAGGCACGTCGGTTATCAACGTGACTGTAGCCGACACGGTGGTTGCAGTTGCCAAGTAAGCTCGATCATTATTGAAATATTGAAATTTTATTTCTCGCTTAATCTCAAGTGGAGCTTACGCTCAAAGAATTTCAATTTCCGATTATATTTAATATTGTAAATTTTTTTCTATACTCTTCAATATTAACACAATTTAATCTGTAATTAAAACTTTTCTTTTAATTAAACTCTTGAAAGATTCTGTTCACATTTTTCTGATTGCCAAAACAAATTTTCAATTTTAATTGTATCATCGTAGCATTTCTTATAGCATATTCACGAAACAAGCGTCATTTCCATGTCATGGCGTGAAATCAATCGGTTCGCGTTGAGAATCATCGTAAATCGACCCCGATTGATGATCGACGTGGCCAAACATCGTAGAATACATTCGCTATCAGATCGGTCGCAAATAAAAATGTCAGCCGCGAGGGCAGTCATATAACAATCAGGGATTCTCGCGAACAAATTTTATTCCGCGCATTCCGCAACCGGAGAGAAAAAGAAAAAGAGAAAGAAAGAAAGAAAAAAAGAAGCAATTTACCGAGAACTACCTGCGTACGCCTCTTACATTAATTCCACGACTACCGCGGTTAAATTTGGGTAACGTTTATTGCTTCACAGATCTTATTGTTCGTACTGAAGCCATTCAACAAAAAATATTGTGCAAATAATATTATATACATATATATATATATTATACATATATAATATATAAAAATATTTAAAATATAAAATATATTTTTGAATATACTTTTAAATGTACTTTTAAATATATAATATACTTTTCACATATATATTTCGTATGCCAAATTAGAGAAAATTCAACATTTTTTACTCCCAGAGTGACGCGAAAAAACATGCGAATCGTCCAAATAAAGTTCTTTCCTCTCGTTGAGTGCACCGGAAAGAAGGCGATTTGGCGCAGCGTTTAAGAGAGAAACCCAGTGAGTAATGAAGGAGAATGAAGGTGCTAGCGCATTTGCCACGCAGCACGCGACGCCTCCGTAACAATGGCACCCTCGCGCGAGATGCGCGCGTGGGTGCATCATCCGTGCGTTTATTTCGCGAGGACAGCGCGAAATCCCGTGTTTACAGCAACGTGGCGTGGGACAACAAGTGTGCCTCGCATCGCGCTCCTCCGCCATCGGCTTTTGTCTTCGGCGATTATTTTCTTATCCGTGTATCCGTCGAAATAAAGCGTGATATATAAAATATAAAAAGAGAATGTTTGTATAATTTTCAACATTAAATATATGGATGTATACGAGTGCTAAATCAAAATCTAAAGAAAGAATAGAAGAAACATAAATAGAAAATTGATAATCTATAATAATCTACATGGGAAAAGCTTATCGATAAATTATGATCTTAAAATATCGATAAAATTTCGTGATCTTGATAACAAAGAGAATATATATCGTCAATAATAACAGTATATAATTAGAATTTAATGCTTCCATGGAATATTTTTTGAAACCACGTATCTGCCACAGATGTCTGTGAATGTACGAGTAATAAAATAATAATTTTATGTCTTCTCTGCTTGTCAAGAATGTCTTTCAAAACGGTGAATAGAGATGTAAGAACAATATCGACATTAAAACTGAGCGTCATATGTCATTCTTAGCGGGTCCGTATAAGCGGGATCACTATAATTTTCCTTCACGCTAGTGGTCCAAACCGGAAACATCGTAATCTCGTAAATGTGAGCGTGCTCACGCGAGCATCCTGGAAAAGGCATTCACGGCTCACGAGATGCTCAATAATTTAGAAAGTTTGACGTTTAATAATAGTAATCAACATCCGAAGATTCATGGCTACGATAGTGCTGGATAATATAATGTTTCTGAAAGTTAGCGAATGCCTCTTTCTGTTATATTCGTGTTATCTTAAATTTTATTTGACAAAAATCCCTCAAATGCCATGTAACATTAGTTACTTTCTATCGTAAATAATAATGCAATTATTCTATTTTCACATGCGTGAAAAGATTAAAAAGCATGGATAATTAAAATAACTAAAATAAATATAATTCTGTGTCTCATAATAAACATAAAACAAATCTTTATATAAAAATAATATCCAAAATATTTTGAAAGCGTTCAAAAATTACTCCCGATTCAGTGCATGCTTTTAAATGACATTTATCGTTATTTTACTATAAGACACGAGAAATTAAAAAAATAATTATATTTAAATAATAAAAATTATAAAATATATGACTGCGAAGGAAGATCGGTAGCCCCGAAATTTATCCTACGACCATGTCTTTCCGATTCACCTACCGCAGATAAGACACCGAGGCGGCGAAAGTCGACGGTCCGAAACCGAAAACCACCCTTCCGCCCTCGGCACTCGCGTAAATCACTCGGGGCGACTTCGGCTTAGCACGAAATTTACTGCCACGTCGTACACGTTCGAAATGCAAACGTTTACGTACGGCGGGCGTAGCCTGCAGCGGCAGCTCGTCCACGAACATTTGCCGTGACTCCCATGTGACATTGCACGGCCGACCTTAAATTCCCGTTCATCGTCCGGATCAGGGTCTCATCTCGGTCGAAACACAATCTCGTAAAATAGTAAATATACTCTAGCGTGAAAATCGTGATCAAGATCAAATCTAAATAACACCTTTTAAATCTGTAATTAAACTGTCAAGATTTAATTCGTGTCAAGAGATAATTTAATTGTGCTACAATGTTATTTCAATCGCGAATAAATAACCTTCGTATTATATTTTCGCGTCTTAATAAACGAGATATTTATACATGAAGGACGATAGAAAATTGTTTGTATTGCAAAATCGTCTGCGGGAGACTTAAGTTTTTATTTGCGAGAAATAACGTGACATTGGTTGCTTCAGTTTTAAAATAATATCGGTATTATTGCGAGTATATTCATTTACAATGTTGATATTAATAATAGACATTATTTCTCCGAGAGAATAATGCAGGAATTTAAGGCAGGCAACATCGGCACAATCGACGGAGAACCGCCCGGCACTTTAACCGCTCGGCATAAAATATGTGATTTCTATGCAACGCAAATTTGCATTTATCGCAGACGTAAATGTTAAACAAGAGAGTTCCTATATGAGCAATAACATGCCGTACTGTGGAGGAGATTTGACAGGCGTACAACTGAGAGAAAGACTATAAATCATTAATGAGGTTTAATATATTCTTTCCTCTCTGCAACTAATTTCTTTTAATACATCTTCAACCTAAAACTCTATCAATCTCTCCCCTACGTCGAAAATAGCTATTAATCTCGAAACCGAATAGAGAAAAATACTATTGTATGCTTTTACCATTACGCTTTGCAACAATTAAGACACAAGCTTGTTAACTTTGTTCGATGAGAGATTAAAGTATTTTTAAAGATTTCATCTTCTAGTTATCTAAGGTAGAATGAACCATGTAACGAAGAGATGGAGTCCCTCTTTTCATTTAATTCCTTCTGGCGTAAAGTCGCTCAATAATGATAAGCCCC